CAAAATTAATTCATTGGCTGTGGCTACCTATCCATTTAACTGGCGCGCACGTGATCATACAAATAGACACATATATGGCCTCGACACAAGCTAGGGAAGTATTGGAAGCTTCGTTCGGTACACACGTTCAACATAAATCTTTGTTCTGGTTAACAAGTCCCCTATCCAGTACAAAGTCAAATGTATGTTTTACAATCTTATCAATTCAGTTCTAAATCTGATTAGTAAAATACACTGCGTGATTCATGCCTTTTGGAAGAAAGAAGGGAAAGTATTGCTCAATTTTTTTTTTAAAACTTGTTTCTACATTTCTTATGGTTGGCGAGATTCTAAATTATTTCTTTCTATTGGATTTTGTAGATTGGATCAAAATTGTGGAGATATTATGATTTTGGCCCCAAGGCTGTGCCACCCCTTATCTGCATCCCAGGAATTGCTGGGACGGCTGATGTATACTATAAGCAGATAATGTCCCTCTCTATGAAGGTGCTTACAATGAGAATGAATGAGTCCCATTCCATTGCCAGTTCAGCACACATCTTTTCTGATTTTGCTAGCTGTCTTGAGTGTTCATATGTACCTGCAAATGTATACACAATGTGATATGCAACCCTTATGCTGACATACAGTGGCGGAGCAAGGATTGAAGCAAACCCTGGGCCAATTTTTTTTTCTGGCAACATGGATAAACTTTGACACTTATAACTACACCAAAAATACCTCATACATTCCCAAAAATATCAAAGGCGAGAATAAGCAAAATAAAGCTCAACTGTTTAGTAAATCAATAATTTAAACTCAATGCACTGGTGAAAAGGATCTCCTCATCTTCTATATATACAACATGAAATGAAATTGACATAAAAATGCACCGATTTGAATTCAACAAAATGTGGGCAAGAGGCCTTGATTGCTTTCTGCTACATTAGTATTTTATGAGATTTTCATGCTTTGCATGATGTCCAAATTGTGGTGGCACTGTTAAGTGTATCCAATTTGAATAGCCATCTCTCTCTTCTTGGAATTTTATTAGAGGTCAACAATTGCAGAATCCTCCTTTAGTTCTGCTTGGCACATGTATAATTGTTAGATACATATATCGGACCAACCTAAGATTTTTGTCTTCATTTTTTTTTCAGGGTTATCGAGTAATATCTATTGATGTTCCCCAAGTTTGGAATCACCATGAATGGATTCATTCCTTTGAAAAGTTTTTGGACTCCATGAATATCCATCATGTAAGGAAATATTATGATACTTTCCTTTTTTACGAGGCTGTTAGCCTAGTAATGTGTTGTTCTCTTTCATTTCCAGCCTTGCTTAAAATTGCGAACCCATATTTCCTAGGATCTAATGCATCTTCACTTCATGTGTGTGTGCCTGCTGCACCTATAATCCTGAATTACCCCCTCCATTCCTAAATATAAGTCTTTTTAGAGATTTCAAATGGACTACCACATACGGATGTATATAGACATATTTTAGAGTGTAGATTCACTCATTTTGCTCCGCATGTAGTCACTTGTTGAAATCTCTAGAAAGACCTATATTTAGGAACGGAGGGAGTATTTTTGTAGTGTTGTTTAAGTTTTTATTGGTACATAAAAATAAATATAAGCACGGTATCATGGGGTATCGACATGTGAACTTAAATTAGTTCTGCTCCTACTTGTTCTTGAAATACACGTGGTTCTGATTATTAGAAGTTGGTACAGTTTGTACTTACTAGTTTTCTATGATTCCCTTAAGAGACGGCTGTAGCATGGTTTTCTAACTTAATTGCCCGTTCTGTGCAAATTAACAGCACATGTCGTATTTTATTCGCTTAATCCCTGAGGGACTCTTGCGAAGTACTTCCTCCGTTGCAAATTATTTGAAATTCTAGCTTTGTACCATGTCAAACGTTTTTAAGTTTTAACCAAGTCTGTATAATTGGACAATCTAATGGGCACACACATGCACATTTGTTGCGCCTTCCAATAGGGCATGAATCTGCCACCACATGTTGACTTCATCTACATTAATTGCTAAATTGGATTTTTTAAAATGGCTTGTCTCACACCGATTAGCGATTCCAGTGGTGAAGTACTCCCCACTTCTGCCAAGATGTCCTGGTTGACGTCGCTCTCTGCATCTCTGTATTGCACTTTAAAATTTATTAAAAGTCAAAGCAGAGAATATTTGCTGATGTCATGTTTTGGATGCATACGATACCATGCTTGTATGAGAGAAAGAGAGAGGTTGGATGGCCCCATGGAAAGACTAAGATGCAGCGTCTGCTACATAGTCGCGTCCATATAAAAGATATGAACATCCAACACAACACCAAATTAGTTACATTGGATTAATGATAAAATATATTTCCATACTGTATGTAGATATTAGCACATTTTTTATGGACTTGGTAAATATAGAGAAGTTTGAGTTAGGTGAAAGCTAACTCAAATACTCCCTCCATCCCAAAAAGCTTGTCTTTGATTTGTCTGGATGCGGATGTATCTAGAGACGTTCTAGTGTTAGATACATCTGTATCTAGATAAATCTAAGACAAGCTTTTTGGGATGGAGGTAATAGTTAGTAATGGATGGAGTGGTACTGATTTATATTCAACCATTTTATGAAGCAGGTTCATATCTGTGGTACATCTCTTGGTGGATTTCTTGCACAAATATTTACTCAATACCGCCCAAGGAGAGTAAAGTCCTTGGTGCTATCAAATACCTTTCTTGAGACACACAAGTTTGCTGCTGCTATGCCATGGTCTCCACTGTATGTAGTCTGTTTTAAGAACTTTTTTGTAAGATCACATGATTGCTTTATTATAACCTAGTGATATGCCCATGTGAAAGTGTTTTATTGTGTTTACATGCCTACACACTTTATAAAGTCTTAGTCACATGCAGATTTCCAAGTTACATTGATCCCTATATTTTTGAAGTTTTCAAAAATGTACTTGCAGATTTCAAAACAACAACAAAGCCTTTCTGTCCCAAAGTAGTTGGGGTAGGGTAGAGTTGAAATACATCAGATCTCAAATCCAAGTCATGGTTTTGGCAGCTGGATAACTAACTTTCACGTACCCTGGCCTATGGCTAGTTCTTTGGTGATACTCCAGTCCTTCAGAGCTCTCTCACGGAGCCCTCTCATGTCAAGTTTGGTCTACCCTGACCTCTCTTTACATTATCAGCACACTTTAACTGTCTGCTATGCACTGACGCTTCTGGAAGTCTGCGTTCTATATTCCCAAACCATCTCAGACGATATTGGACAAGCTTCTCTTCAGTCGGTACTACCCCAAGTCTATCTCGCATATCATCATTTTGAGCCTGATCCTTTCTTGTGTGGCCACATATCCATCTCAACATGCGCATCTCTACTAGACCTAACTGTTGGACATGTCGCCTTTTAGTTGACCAACATTCAGCGCCATACAACATTGCATGTCGAATCGCCATCCTATAGAATCTTCCTTTTAGCTTTTGTGGCACTCTCTTCTCACAGAGCGTTAGAAGCTTGGCACCATTTCATCCATTCAGCTTTGATTCGATGACTCGCATCTTCATCGATATCACCATCCTTCTGCAACATTGACCCCAAATATCAAAAGGTGTCCTTCTGAGGTACCACATGTCTGTCAAGTATGACCTCCTCCTCGTACCTAGTAGTACTGAAACCACAGTTCATTTACTTAGTTTTAGTTCTACTAAGAGCTAAAACTGTTTGATTCCAAAGCCTGTCTCCATAGCTCTAACTTTCTGTTAACCCTCGTTCGACTATCCTCGACTAGCAACACATCATCTGCAAAATGCATAAGGAGCATGGAGAGCTCTCACTCCAGCAAGACAACCTAGCAGCGGGCGCCCCCGACCAGACATCAGCCGCCATAGCCATAGAAAGAAGAGAGGTGAGATTCAACAACTTGGGAGAGTGAGTTGTTTTGGAGAGCGGCGTCCACGGGAGCGCGCAGGAACCCGGCGATGGGTGGAGCTTGGCGTGGCTGCGCGCGTGGAGTGGAGCAGCCGATGTGGCGTTGCGTGGACGTGACGTCGATGGTGGCGTTCGGCCCCGTGGGCGCATGCCATGGAGGGCTTGGCAGGCCGCGGGCGGGAGTGCGCCATCAGCGTCCTGGCGGCCATCTAAAGCGGGGTTAGATCCGCTGATAGTGAAATGTATTTTTCTGGGCTATGCTTTTGGTCAGTAGGGGTATAAATGTGGTGTCCCTCTGAGAAACATAGATTTGGAAGATGGCCAAGAGGGGGAGAAGGTCGTCTCATACTCATGGTGATTCTGAGGGACTAACACTGATGATGATGATGCAAGTGTTGAAGTGTATATGTGGGTTGCCTAGCCCTTTCCATCAGTTCAGACGTTTGGTTGCGTTGACTAGTGCATGAAGCTTAACATGGTATCAGAGCCCAAGGTCTTGAGTTCAAGTTCTGGCTGTCGCAGTTTATCCAAAAATTGTTGCTGGCCCCCTTTGTCCACATCTAGGCCTCTTGAGCCATACCTTTGAGTCTTATCCACGTGTTGACTTTCCGCGTCACACGTGAGAGGGGGTGTTGAAGTGTATATGTGGATTGCCTAGCCCTTTCCATCAGTTCGGACTTCTGGTTGTGTTGGCTAGTGCATGAAGCTTAACAACAAGCTCATCAGACACAATGGAACTGCCTATTGCGCTGCGAAAGGGGGCGCGCGAAGCAGTAAAGAAGGCTTTACCACTGGATGCTCTTTATGATCATGAAATTGGCAATTTTGTGCCTTGTGAGGCTTTATCTCCTTCCTACAGAGCGTTTTGTCTCTCTCTACAAACAGTGACAATCCCAAAGGATTGGAAGGCTGCAAAGCAAGATCCGAAGTGGCATGAAATGATGATAGAGGAGTTGGAAACACCGAAGAAAAACAAAACGTTGGCACTAACCACATTGCCGGCAGAAAAGAACATACTGAGTTGTAAGTGGATCTATACCATGAAGCAAAATCCTGAGAGAAAGGTGTAACGGTATAAGGCCAGATTGGTTGCCAGATTGCTCCTGTTGCGAAGATGAACATAGTAAGGATACTGGTTTCGTGTGCTGCAAACTTTGGGTGGAAATTGCACAAATTAGATGTCAGAATGCCTTTTACATGGTGACTTGCAGGAAGAGGTATACATGGGGGAAGGTACGCAGGATGAATAAGTCTTTGTATAGACTGAAGCAACCGTCAAGGGCATAGTTTAATAGGTTCAAACTTGTTGTCTGTGGCTTGGGTATGGTCAATGTAATGTGACCACGTGGTGTTTTGCAGTCACTCTGATCAAAATATCACCATTCTTGCAGTTTATGTGGATTACATTATCATCACTGGAGATGATAAGAAGGAAATAGAGATTGAAGGGGTGTCTGAGCAAGGAGTTTGAGGTAAAGGATATGGGCAACTTAAAATACTTTCTTGGTTGGCATTGAAGTGGCCCGAACAGCGAAGGGAATATCTTTGTGCCAGCGGAAATACACCTTGGATCTCTTGACATTACGTATGCCGTGGGTGTGGTGAGCAGATACATTCATGAACAATGGAGTGGGCATCTCGATACTGTGCACAGAATCTTGAGATACTTGAAAGGCACTCCGGGTAAAGGGTTGTGGTTTGCGGAGAGTGGACATCTTGAGGTGGATGGCTAGAGTGACTCTTGATTCGGCAGTTGTCAAGATGATAGAATATCAACTTCTGGCTATTGTGTTTTGTGGGAGGAAATTTGGTGTCATGGAGAAGCAATAAACAGACAGTTGTGTCTAGATTAACACCAAAAGCCAAGTATAGAGCCTTATCTCAAGGGCTGAGAGAGATTCTCTGGGTGAAGCACCTACTAAGCGAGTTGAAACTTCAGAGGAAGGGACTCTAGGGCTTGGTGTGACAATCAGTTATCTATAAGCATTGGTAATAACCTAGTTCAACATGATAGGACAAACTTCATTAAGGAGAAACTTGATGTTGGGATCATCAGCCTTGTTCATATCAGCTTTAGGCAGCGGATTGCAGATTGCTTGACAAAGGGACTGGGAACAAAGAACTGTAAATTGGCTTGTACAAGATGTGGTTTGATAGATATCTACCATCCATCTTGAGGGGGATTGTTGAACCGGTATGGGCCAGGGTCCATCTCCACTTAGGGCATTTCTAACCGATCCCAAATAAGGCCGTAAGGGAGGATAAATTCAGTTATCCTCCCTTACAGCGCACCTAGCCTTCCCCTAACCGGTATAGTGGAGTAAAAATTATCCCCCACTGCCCAAAATCCCCCAATTTCCCTGAATATGCTCACTCCCGCCGGGGCCGAGTAAAACTGGCGGCCTCTCTTCCTCCCACCCTCGTTCCCGCCGCCGCAGCCACCATGCCCCGCCGCCGCCCCCGATGACCCTCCGGCCGGAATGGATAGCTCGGACCCTTCCCTTGCCCCCTGGCCACCGCCGCTGGCTTGTCGCCGATGGAAGCCACCCATGCGCCGCCGTCTGCCCCGAAGAAAAGCTTAGGGATAAAAAAAAACCCACTGGGTTCAAGCTCCGCCTCCAACCGCGGCAATGGTGGCCGGGGTGGCGGCCGCTTCTCCCGCAACGGACCGCTGCCCTCCCACCTCTACCGCCGGAGCAAAAAGAGCAAGAAAACCAACGACGGCGACGTCGGCTCTCGTCGAGGCGGCTGCGATGAAGGCCACAACGGTGGCCCGTCCAAGGCTAGCGCCTCGTGCAGCTACTCCGGCTGCCCCTACGGCTATTGCTCCGGCGCGAGCGGCGGCCGCAGCCAGCACTAAGGGTCGCGGCCGCCAAGTGCTTGATGAAATGCCGACAAGGTAAAAAGAAAATCCTCTTTCGCATTTCGGCTGATCGGTGATTGTTGGTAGCCGATGGTGATCTAGTTTCTTTTTTCGTTGTCGTAGTGTGGAGATGAATACGGTCGAGTTCTTAGCATCTTTGGAGTCCTCGGCCACCATTGGACTTGATGAGCTCAACTATGACTCCGTTTGGCATCATTCGGAGGCGGCCCAAGAAATGGAGCAAGAGGGGGTGGTGGTGCATGCCATTGGTTGGCTCGATCCACAACATATACGTGCTATGTTTGTGGTGATTTTGGATCAAGCATTGTGTTTGACGTGATGCCTTTTGGGTGAACTTTGAATGTTTTTATTTGAAATTCGTGACGATGAAACTATATGTTATGACGGTTATGTTATGCATGTTTTAATTTTAATATCCTCATGATATATTATTGTATAGTGTTTGAAGTTGATGCGGCTAGGACACAAAATCTACACAATTTTCTTTTTACTCTCACTAACTATAGGGGATCGGCTAGGTGTGGCCAATGTCCACTAACTTTACTCCGCCGGATCCTCCCTTAACTTTTAGGGGATCGGTTAGAAATGCCCTTAGGACCTGTGGTCTCTCCAGCATAAGGAGCAAGGAGAGCTGTCTCTCTAGCAAGACAACCTAGCAGTGGGCGCCCTTGACCAGACGTCAGCGGGCATAGCCATAGAAAGAAGAGTGACGAGATTGAACTTGGTGTTGTATTATCTACTCTGACTACCTTAGGCTGGGATAATTGCAGGATTTGGTATTAGTAGTGAGTATGTTTGGTGTCCTGTTGTGAACGAACATGTTTAAAACACTAGACAAACAGTCAGCACTTGGAAGTACTGTTTCGTCCAGATCGTGAGTTTCGGTATGATGACAATTTTACAGTGTATCTGAAGAACAACTTATTGTACTGATACTTTGTTTTTACAGTACATAAAA